GACGGCAGGCTGCGCGCCGTCGAGGAGGCCCTCCGCGGCCGCCGTCCTTCAGCTTCGCCGGGCCGCAGCGGCCGCGCCGACTCCCCGCACGGCTCCCTGCTGGCCCTTCTGCCGCCGCCGGCGGTGCCGCCGCCGCCGCCGCCGCCGACGACGACGACGCCGACGACGACCACGACGACGACGACGACGGCGACGATTGCGACGATGGCGACGATGGCGAAGACGGCGACGACGACGACGACGACGACGACGACGACGACGACGACGACGACGACGGCGGCGGCGGCGGCGGCGGCGGCGGTGACGGCGGGTGCGGCGGCGGCGGGGTTGGGTTCGAGGCTTCAGGTTTTCTGAAGTTTTCGTCGGTTCGTGGCTGCTTTCCAGCTCGAGACGCGTTCCAGCAGCTGCGCCTCGCCGAGAGGCCCCGTCGGGTGCCGGGATCGTCCCGAACGGCCGCTGGAGACTTGAGTTAGTTTTGACCCGAAAGCCAGACGACGACGAATATTATTGAGGGGGAAGCTTTCTCACAAGGTGGCGGGGTTTCTTGAAAGCCCTCGGTCTTCTGAAAAGCACCGCGGTGGCTGCAGGCTTCGGGGGAGGCTCAGGAAGCTTTTCAGATGGTCACAGGCCTTCTGAGCCTTCTGAGGAGGTCCGCCCCTCACCAGTTTGAAACATATCCCTATCCATGTGTTTGGCATCACCGCGCCTCGATGTCGATCTTGAGGATTCCCTCAGTCTCTGAGGGCACATCCCTAAGACTGTCCTCGCTTTTTGCTCGCCAATCTTAGGGACAGGGATAAGTTCGAGGCTGGTTAGCCCCCCCTTCCTTTCCCCCTGGGCGCGCCGCCGAAGCAGGACGCGGCATACGCATGGCGCGGCCAGCCTGGGCGTGGCATGCCGCCGCGTAAGCCACCGCGTGAGGTCGCTGCGTGCGCCACATGGTGTAAGATCCGTTTTGTCCCGTCGCTCACGTGTCCAGGAAGAGGAAAAAAACACGAAGATTCAATGCATTCGACTCCCAGAATAATAGTGGGAAAATCTGGAAGTCGGGAGGGTGACAGAAGTCCAGAACATATGATGAATTACAGGGAGTCCTTTGTGCTTTTTCCTTTGTGTCCCAGGGCCCCTTCACATGTGGCCAGAGGTCTTTTCTGCGCTCGGCCCTGCTGTGGCGGTGCAGTTCGTGCTTTCGCGCGTGAACCCAGGGCGTGGCCTCCGAAGGCTCCCCGTGTGAGTCTAGCCGTGCGTCTAAGGATCAGAAGGGGAATCAGAAGACATGCAAGGGCGCCCTCGAGGGCGCGAAGTTATTCGCGCTTCGCGCTCCGCGGTTCGGCTCCGAGTCCTCCTCATCCTCCTTTTCTCCCCTGGGCGGCGGCGCGAGAGCGCGAAGTTATTCGCGCTTCTCGCTTCTCGCAGCGCGAAGCCCGAAGTTGGGAGCCCTTGATATGGCGGAGGACAGCGGCGATGGGACGCCGGACGCTGGCGCCTGCCGCGGCCGTCGGCGCCGAGAGCGCCGATCGAGGCTCGAGGCTCGAGCTTCCTAGTTGGGCCTCCTAGACAGGGTCGGAGCAGACGGGGTCGGAGGTTCGGCCGTATCGCCGATGCGGCTCGATGTGGAGCCCGATTTGCTCCACGTCGACGTCGCCGATGCATCGCCCACGTCGACGATCCTCCGATTGCATCTACCCCGACCCCATCTGGGAGGCCTTCAGACTTCCAGCCGCCGGAGTCGGAGTCGTCGTCAGCGCCGTCTTTGCCGCTGTCAAGATCTGGAGGAGGGCCCCGAGATCGTGGCGCCATGCATGAGGTCACGACGAGCGTTCTGATCGCCCCCTCCCCCCTTGGGCATCGGGTCGGGAGAGCCTCGTGGGCGGGTCCTGGCTCGAGGAGTCCCGCACGAAGATGACGTCGATGGCTCTGCCCGTGTTCCCTTTTCTCGCGGCGACGGGTGCCTTGGGAGGTCGGGGTCGCGCCACTGGGAGAGGGGCGAGGGGGGGGCGCCCTCGGGAGCCCGTTCTCTTGTCCCCTGGCGAGAACGGGGCGTGAACAGGGCCGGGGGGGGGAGGGTCAGGCGGGTTGTAATGGGGGTTGGCTTGAAATGGGGGCTGACGATTGGGGCCCTTCGTTGCTCGATGGGGGTAGAGGGCAGGCCACGTCAAGGTTCGCGCGGGCGCCGTCTGGGAATGCCTAGGGATGCCTCGTTCCCACACGGCGCCGGCGCGAAGCATTTAAATTCTGACGTGGCAAGGGGGGAGTCGGAGGGGGCGGGGCCCCGTGGGCCTTCTGCACAAGGGCCGGAGGCTTCGCCCCAGGCCTTCTCCGGAGGAGCCCTCTGCCTTGCCAGGCCGCCCCCCTCGCTCCGCCCCGCCCTGCGCGCCGCCAGCCCCAGAGCGCTGGGCGTGCGGGGGAGGGAGCGGCTGCCCGAGAGAAGCCATCGCGTGGGCGTTCGGGTCGAGGGTTCCGCCGCGGTGGCGGCCTCCTGTGCGCTGTACGGTAGGGGGGGGGGATAGTTCGACTCTGAGGGGGGGGTGGGGGCGCATCGACTTGGCTCCTCAATCGCCCATGGATTGCCGATGAGGCCCGATACACGCACCACGCCCGGGCCCATGCGGATTCGCCATCGGGGGCCTATCGCCGATCTATCGGCGGTGTATCGCCTTTTCCAGGTCGACGTTCCCCCTCCTAAGCCGACCCCCCCTATCGTTCCCCATCAGCAAAGGGCCCAGAGGTCGTGGGCTCCTTCTCCTCGCTCCTCAGAGATGCGATGCCCCCTGGGTGTGCGGATCCGTCAGGTGTGCCATCTGCTTGCTTCTTTTGCCGCCCCCGACTCTCTTGCCGCCCCTTGGGTAGGTTGAGAAAAAGCGAGCTCAAGAGGCTCGGGTCCAGGTCAGGTACAATAGCCACCGCGTTTACAGCCTTTCTCACTTTCGAGGTAGCATGGCTTTGACTCTCTCGAACAAGGGTACACTTACTGACGAGAAGTTGAGGGAGAACCTTGCATCGATCAAGGAACATCTTTAGCGCATTGACACCAAGCTCGAGAACCACAACGATTGGCTGAAGCAGCTCGACGAGTAGATCGGGGACAGCAGTCCTCGTTCGTAATTACCATCTTACATCGAGGTCCGGGGCATCTGTGCGTGGAAGGACCGCAAGTCGGTAGGTATGACCAGGCCAGAGGCCCTGGCACTGACGAGCCAGCTAAAGAGCGCCGTCGACATCAGACTTGCCACCAAGGTGGGCGAGGTAGAAGTCTGGATGCATCATACATGTCACGTCACCGCACGCCACGGACATAGCCGCACTTTCCCGGGATATCTTGAAGGGAGGGTGGCGCTCTATCAGTGCAATGGCAGCGAACTGTTCACTACTGTCCATAAGTCGCCGGAATACCATAATCGCTTCGAGGCGGGCGGCCAGGCTAGGGCGCAACGAGAGGATAAGGCGAAGGCCCTGGACGCGGCCAGCATCGCCAAGGACACGGGCCCACCCGACTTCGAGTTGATCGTGACGAAACGTGATGACGAGAGGGTCATGAGAGAGGTGGACGAGAGGGGGGGGAAGTGGCTTGGGATGGTACGGCCGTTCGCAGGAGCCTTGGATCCACCCCCGCCGCTTTCGAGAAAGAGGCGCGGGCGTTCCGGTCGCCGTGAGACGGCCCAGAGATATCGGACAGTTGTTTCCGAATCGTCTCCTGGAGCACCTGTCAACAAATATTTGGGTTGCGAGAAGGATATGTAAATAGTTTCGGGACTTCACGGAGGAGTTCGAGGCGCTCTTACAGGATGTATTTGAATGGGGCGATTTGCATGAATCTACTTCCTGTGGCCATACCGTGTTGTTTGCCGAGCAGTGCGACTTCGCCTTCAGCATCAGTAGATCCGGCCAGGATGCAGGCGCTCTGGGACTTGAGTTCGGGTGAATATTGGTTTGATGCCGCAGTGGGTAAAATATGTTGCATGCCAGCGCACATCCTCGACCATCACGGCGACGGTAGAAAAGGGTACAGCGTGTGTTTGAAGAAACTTCGCTGTTTGTCCAACGTGTTCGCCAATCTTACTCTGCAATGGAATCCAGCACAGTATCAGGAGCCGCCGCGAACGTTCAGTTCCCAGCGTTCTTGAACGGCATGACGGAAGACGTAGTTCTGGACAGGCGTCACAATTGCATGCAAATTTTCAATATCAGTGGCTGTTGGATAGAATGAGTCATTGAACATTCGTCTGCTTAACACGTTTCGCACATGAAGGGTGGAGGTGGTTGGGGAGTTGTCGGCAAACCGTTTGTGGACTCGCACCATGAGTGCTGCTAGCAAGATATAATATCATATCGACTTCGTTGGCGAATGTTCTTAGTTTCTGCGCGGGGGGGGGGGGCTTGGGCCCAGAAGATGAATCATACATTGTTCAAGCGATCTGACCACAAACCAGTTTTTCTCAGCTGACGTGCCACAGCTTTTTGATCGAATCGGTCTCACTTTCAAAATCGTTGAAAGGTACTGGCCGCTCAGACCCTCATATCTATGTATATATATGTATATATATATATAGTGTTCGGCAAGTTTGTATTGATAACGCCGGTACCAAGTTTCCTACGTAGCAGCACCGTGAATTGCGAGCGGCCGTTGACATCAATTTCCAGACGGCCCGCAATCGATTACACCACGGCGGACGCAGGCGAACATCCCTGTCAAGTTCGCCCAGAAAGTTGTTGCTCACGTTAAACCAGAAGAGACAGAATCCTTGGGCACAGATCTCAACATAAATTTCCGCGATGCAGCACGCACGAGGAACGAGACTCATCTGAAAAACCTCTCCATGACGAAAAAACAATATCGCACACCCGTTTCCTTGCCTACCCCTGGCACCGCTACCGCGGACACATTGATACGGCGGAAAAGGTGCTTAAGAGTTCAGCAGAAAATGCTTCGACAGTGATCATAACACGCATGACATACAAGGTCATCGGCTCTCTTCCTTGGTGGGGGTGGTGCAGAATGAGCGTCTAGACCGGCGGCCAGGGCTTTTGATTTCTCGGTGGAACGTGTTGCGAGTGTCGCAGGAGAAACCCCAGCTGAAAGCAGGTACATTTTATGCCGCATATCGAAAGTTGCTCGCACATTGTTTGATTTTACGTCTCCATATTCGGCGAGCTGGAAGACACTTGATTTTACGGGCGCCTCAAAGATCACGAACCCGAGGAATTTGCTTGGATTCCGTTGAATTGAAAATGTTTGTTCAATTCGGTACGTTTTGGGTTTTCGGTACGTTTTGGGCGAAAGAAATATACATGCCCACCACATGTGTGAAACGATGTATGTTTCAGTCGACGTTCTCACACGTGGCAGTGGCGGGCATCGGTGCAAACCTTTGTGGGGGGGATGAGGGTGAGGACTTGGAGGGTTAGGGGGAGGAGGAGGAGGAGGAGGAGGAGGAGGTGGAGGAGGGGGAAGAGGAGGAGGAGGAGGAGGAGGAGGGGGAGGGGGAAGAGGACGAGAAGGAGGAGGAGGAGGCTCTCCAGACGCCGAAATTGCGGGCAAACGCGTCTATGTTGCAGACGTCGAGCTCTTGGATGAATGGATGATGATGATGTTGGGCAGTATGATGATGATGATGATGATGATGATGATGATGATGATGATGATGATGATGATGATGATGATGATGATGATGATGATGCTGATTACTGTGGTGATGCTGTTGATGCTGATGAGGATGACGTTTACGATGTTGATACTGTTGTTAATGATGATGCTGGTGATGACGATGGTGTTGACGTTGGCGATAACGATGGTGGTGATGATGCTGACGATGCTGGAGAAAATGATGACGATGCTTGTGATGACGATGATGGTGATGATGGGGATGGTGATGATGCTGCTGATGATGCTGCTAATGATGCAGATTATGAGTTTGATGGTGATACTGATCATGATATGGCAGATGAGGATGGTGTTGATGATGATGATGATGGTGTTGGTGGTGGTGGTGATGGTGGCAAACATGGTATTGCTTGTGATGGTACTGATCATGCTCACGGTGCTGCCAATGGTGATGATTGTGATAGTGATGCTGACGATGATGCTGCTGATGGTGATTATAGTCATGATGTTGGTGATAATGCTATTGCCGACGACGACCACAACAATACTGCTGTTGACGATGATGATGACGGTTATCATGTTGATGACGGTGATGAAGATGATGACGATGCTGTTGATGCTGCTGGTGGTGATGCCGATGACAGGTGGTGATCATGACGACGATGATCATGTATGTTGATGAGGATAATGATGAAGGTGATTGTGATGATGATGATTATGATGATGGATTAAGATGATGTTTGTGGCGGTGGTGATGATGGCGGTGCGGTGATGAGGATAGTAATTCTGATGCTTGCGATTATGCGTATAAGGACGCTGATGATGATGCGCATGACGATGGCTATAGTGATGGTGATGGTCATCATGATGCGGATGTTGAGGCTCATGGCTGTGATGATGGTAGTGGTGATGATACTAGTGACGATGATGCTGACGACTGCGATGGCGATGACGATGTGGATGATGCTGCAGCTGGCGGCGCTGCTGCTGCTGCCGATGATGAGCCTGATGAGTAGTCAGTATATTGTTGATGCTGATCTTTCTATTGACGCTGGTCATGATTCTGACGATGGTGATCGTAATGCTGATGATGGTGATGGTGATGGTGATACCGATGATGATAATAATGATGCTGATGAACGGGTTGTGAGGAGGAGGAGGAGGAAGAGGAGGTGGAGGAGTTGGTCTGCTATCTTCTAACCCGCTTCTCCTCCGCGTCTCCCCTCTTCGGGGGCTTCTGGCCAAAGACAACGACAGAGGGGGGATAGGCTCAGGGGGGAATGCATCGACCCCGAATCGCTCACTCATCGCCGACAGGAGCCTGACATTCTGTCCTGCCCATATGGGAGAACGTGCGGTTGTGCCATCGGGGCCCTTTCGCGGATTCGTCGTCAATGTATTGCCCCTTATCGAGCTCGATGTTCTCCCCCACCCCCTTGAGCCAGTTCCCCCCTGGCGTTACCCCTCAGAGGGGGGTGTAAGAGGCGACGGTGGGGGCGAATAGCCCAGGGGGAGCAGTATTCAAGGGCGCCCTCGAGGGCGCGAAGTTATTCGCGCTTCGCGGTTCGGCTCCGATTCCTCATCCTCCTTTTCTCCCCTGGGAGGCGGCGCGAGAGCGCGAACTTAATCGCACTTCGCGCAGCGCGAAGTGCGAAGTTGGGAGCCCCTGTTATCGAAGGGCGCCGGTGGTCCATGTTTTGCGGCGAGACTCCCCGGTGACCATGCGTAATATTGTCATTCGGCTGTTCGCCCCTGCCGGCGCTTTCGAAGTTGGGCGGGTGCCGCAAGGAGGAAGGTGGCCCCGCCCGCGCCCCTCTGCAGGCTTCGGCAGCTACCGGATGGCACCTTTGTCGCGCGCCCGCAGTGCCGACCGCTCCGGGCGCGCAGGCGTTCGCCGCGTGCTGCCGCCGCCGCCGCCTCCGCTTCCGACGCCCACGCCGTCGTCGGTTGCGTCGGCGTCGTCGCCGCTGTGCCTTTGCGTCCTCGGCGGCCTCCTCGACCTCGTCGGCGGCGTCATTGGCGTCGCCATCGGCCTCGCGTTGGCTTTTTCTACTTCGTCGTCGTCGTCGGCGTCGTCGTCGTTTGTGAATATGGGCAGGCCGGGACCTCCCTTGTATTTCGGTGCCCCCCCCCCCGGCGGCTTTCCTGGGAGCCCGGGGCCTCCCTGGGGCGTCCCCGGACCCTTCCCGAGGCCTCTCCGGCGCTTCTATTGGGTTACCGGGCAGCCCAAGATGGCGCCAAAACGGCACAAGAAGCCCCCAAGACGCTCCACGACGGCTCCAGAGGCATCCAAAGACGGCCCAAGAGGCCTTCAGGAGGCACCCCAAAAAGGCGCCAAGAGGCAAATATCATTGATTTTCCATAGGTAAACGTATTTTTTCAGCAGATACACTTTTTCGGCATTCACGGCGTTGAAGACGGTCGAAGAGACTCAAGAGGTTCCCTAGAGGCGCCCAAGACGGCCCAAGAGGGCGCCAAGACGGCCTGAGGCTCCCAAGACGGCCGAAGAGGGCCCCAAGACAGCCCCGAGAGGGGTCCAAGACGGGCAGCCCGAACCCAGAATCCGAGCCTTCCGCCCCAAAAAGGCCCCAGGATGCCCTAAGAGGCCCTCAAAAGGCCCTCAAGAGGGTCCCCAAAGGCCCCCAAGAGGCTTCCAAGGGGTGCTTGAGAGGCCCCAAAACGGCCCCAAAGAGGGCCCAAGAGTCACGGGCGGCGGAAAGACGGCGAAGGCAGTTTCGATACCATGCCGGACCCGGCGCACGGGAGGAGGAGCGGGAGAAGGAGGATTGGGAGGAGGGGAATCGGGAGGAGGACAAGCTAATTAGGTGCGCTCACGTCATATCTAACGTCGTTGCCCCAAGTGCCCTCTTGAACCGACGACGACGAAGACGACGAGACGACGAAGACGAAGGCGACGACGACGACGACGACGACGACGGCGCGCCCCAAGAGGCGACGACGACATTGCGACGACGACGACAGCGACGACGGCACGCCCCAGCAGGCTCCCCAAGACGCCCCCAAACCCATGTTCCCGCAATGCCTTTTTGGAAGCCGGTTAATCAGGCCTCCGCCCCCCTACGCAGCCATCCTCCCCGAAAGCCTTCCATAATGCGGATTGACACGCATGGACTTCTCACTGCCCATATTGCATTCAGCGTTGTGGGCAATTTTCTTCCCGCTCAAACCATCTGTGATCCACTTACTTTAGTGGAGCAGTGCACTCGTCAAGGCCTGGGGTCTGCTAGAACCTGAGCGCGCGTGAAGCGCGCGCAATGGTTCTAGTTCTCACTTCTGAAAAATATTTATGGTTCATCCGCCTCTGATATGGTGTTTTTCCCAACCATCCTGTGGTGTTGGGTCCTCGTTTTGAAGAGAGAGCGCCCCGCGTTCACTCCTCCCGCTGCCCCCTCCCTCCTGCCATCATCATCATCACCACCCACTTCGGCACACCCCTCACACGCTTCGTGGCCCCATAGGGAGCTCCAGCGAAGGCCCCAGTGGCTGCGCTCCCATGCGCCCACCGCGCCCATTTCGGCACACCCCTCACACGTTCCGTGGTCCCATAGGGAGCTCCAGCGAAGGCCCCAGTGGCTGCGCTCCCATGCGCCCGCCGCGCAGATTTCGGCACACCCCTCACACGCTTCGTGGCCCCATAGGGAGCTCCACCGAAGGCCCCAGTGGCTGCGCTCCCATGCGCCCGCCGCACCCATTTCGGCACACCCCTCACACGTTTCGTGGCCCCATAAGGAGCTCCAGCGAAGGCCCCAGTGGCTGCGCTCCCATGCGCCCACCGCGCCCATTTCGGCACACCCCTCAACGTTTCGTGGCCCCATAGGGAGTCCAGCGAAGGCCCCATGGCTGCGCTCTCCATGCGCCCACCGCGCAGATTTCGGCACACCCCTCACACGCTTCGTGGCCCCATAGGGAGCTCCACCGAAGGCCCCAGTGGCTGCGTTCCCACGCGCCCACCGCACTCATTTCTGCACACCCCTCACACGTTTCGTGGCCCCATAGGGAGCTCCAGCGAAGGCCCCAGTGGCTGCGCTCCCATGCGCCCACCGCACCCATTTCGGCACACCCATCACACGTTTCGTGGCCCATGGGGAACTCCAGCGAAGGCCCCAGTGGCTGCGCTCCCATGCGCCCGCCGCACCCATTTCGGCACACCCCTCACACGCTTCGTGGCCCCATAGGGAGCTCCAGCGAAGGCCCCAGTGGCTGCGCTCCCATGCGCCCACCGCACAGATTTCGGCACACCCCTCACACGTTTCGTGGCCCCATAGGGAGCTCCAGCGAAGGCCCCAGCGGCTGCGCTCCCATGCGCCCACCGCACCCATTTCTGCACACCCTTCACACGTTTCGTGGCCCCATACAGCTCCAGCGAAGGCCCCAGTGGCTGCGCTCCCATGCGCCACGCACCCATTTCGGCACACCCATCACACGCTTCGTGGTCCCATGGGGAGCTCCAGCGAAGGCCCCAGTGGCTGCGCTCCCATGCGCCCGCCGCACCCATTTCGGCACACCCCTCACACGTTTCGTGGCCCCATAGGGAGCCCCAGCGAAGGCCCCAGTGGCCGCGCCCGCATGCGTCAGCCACACCCATTTCGGCACACCCCTCAAACGTTTCGTGGTCACATAGGGAGCTCCACCGAAGGCCCCAGTGCCCGCGCCCGCATGCGTCAGCCACACCCATTTCGCCAACTCCCTCACACATTTCGTGGTCCCATGGGGAGCTCCACCGAAGGCCCCAGTGCTGCCGCCCGCATGCGTCCCGCACACCCATCCCCTTCACACGTTTCGTGGCCCTATAGGGAGCCCCACCGAAATTGGTAGTGTCAACTGCGGTATTCACACCTGCACATGGTTGGGTCCTTCGTCAGGCTAATTCAATTGAGGGGCCCGTCCCACGGCTCGCACCCTGCTTTTTGCAGGGGGAAGTCTTGCGCGTCAGACTGTCTTGCTGGCCCCCGGTTTGCAACAGCGGCTCCCGCTTGATATCTGTACTATGTATTCAGGAATGAGATTTTCGCTAAAGGTTTTCTTACAATATGTATATATATATATATTTATATATATTTATATATATTTATATATATTATTTTATATATATATATAATTATATAATATAACGGCGCACCGGGTCCGGGGGCCCGGGGCCGGGACCCCGACCACAAATGTGGGCTCCGGGGGGCCCGGAGGCTCGTCGGATCGCCGGACGCCGTCCAAGATCGTTCGCAGGCGGCTTCGGAACGCGCTCCGATGGCTCCAGATGCCTTCCAAGACGCCTGTCATGACACCAAGAAGGTCCCAGAAGCCTCCAAGACGCTCCGAGAGGCAGCCCAAGAGAGGCCCAAGAAGCAAAAATCGTGCCATTCCTATGGGAAAACGTATATTTTTCGCATGCTCGCCTCTTGGGCTTTCACCGCGTCCAAGACGGCCCAAGAGGCGCCCAAGACGGTCTACGAGGCCTCCGGGAGCGCTCCAAGGCTGCGCACGAGTGGCCCAGGACGGCCCCAAGACGGCCCAAGAGAGCCCCAAGACGAGTTCGAGAGGGGTCCCAGACGGAGAAAGCCAACCTCGAATTCCGAGCTTCCGGCCCAAGAGGCTCCAGGAGGCGCCAAAATGCCGCCAAGAGGCGCCAAAAGGCTCCCAAAAGCACCCCAAGACGTTCCGAGAGGCACCCCAAGAGAGGTCCAAGAAACAAAAATCGTGCCATTCGTATTGGAAAACGTATATTTTTCGCATGCTCGCCTCTTGGGCTTTCACCGCGTCCAAGACGGCCCAAGAGGCCTCCAAGACGGCCTAGGAGGCCTCCGGGAGCGCTCCAAGGCTGCGCACGAGTGGCTCAGGACGGCCCCAAGACGGCCCAAGAGAACCCCAAGACGACTTCGAGAGGGGTCCCAGAAGGAGAAAGCCACTCTCGAATTCCGAGCTTCCGGCCCAACATATCCCAGGAGGCGCCAAAACGCCGCCCAGAGGCGCCAAAAGGCTTCCAAAATCAGCCCAAGACGTTCCGAGAGGCACCCCAAGAGAGGTCCAAGAAACAAAATCGTGCCATTCCTATGGGAAAACGTATATTTTTCGCATGTTCGCATTTTGGGCTTTCACCGCGTCCAAGACGGCCCAAGAGGCCTCCAAGACCGCCCCAAGACGGCCCAAGAAGCTTCCAGGAGGGCCCCAGGACAGCCCAAGAGGGCCCCAAGACGGTCCAAGAGGCGCCCAAGATGGCCCAAGAGGGCCCCAAGACGGGCCCAAGAGGGGGCCAAGAGGGGAACCACGAACCGCAAGCTCGAGCCTTCCGCCCCAAGAGGCCGCGAGGAGGCCCAGGAGGCCCCTCAAGAGGCCCCAGGAGACCCCCAAGAGGCCCAAGGAGGCCCCCAAAATGCATCGAACCTGCTTCCAGGAGGCCCCCGAAAAGGTTCAGAGGCTCCCGAGAAGCTACGTCAAACCCAGCGAGCGGCCGGACGAGGCCCCCCACAAAATCACAAGAGGGTTCCAGTATTTGTATCATTTCAGCGCTCTCTGGCCTTCTTCCCCCTGCCCCCTTCCCTGCGACTTTCGTTGACTCAAGCTCGCCTCCTAGGTAGAACCTAAGCGCGCGCGAAGCGCGCGCGTGGTTTCTAGTATATATATATTATATATATATATATATATATATATTATATATACATACAGGAGGCGCACTCTCATCTGAGAATTCCTTACACTTCATTCAAGAGTCGCTTTCGGCGCTCTGGAGTCGAGGTCTCCCCCGGTACAGTTTCATAATTTTCTTAGGAGCCGCGCTCTCGCCTCAGACTTTCTTGCCCTTTCCTCTTGCTAGTCCCTTTTGTCCTCCATATTCGCCCTCCCTCCCTCTTGCCCCCTTTCCTCCTCCCTCCTTTCCTCTTTGCCCTCTCCCTTTTCCATCTTTTCCCGTCCTCCTGCCTTGAACGTAGTGCCAACTACACGTGGCAAGGAAGGACGATCTACTTCCAAGGGGGGTACGATCAAAGACGAAGAAGGCGGATATCGTGGGTTTGGGGATTGATGCGTTGAATGACACGCGGGCATAAGTATTGCGGGTTTCCTGTGGTTTTCATGTT